AAGTAAACTGTATTAGTTTTATTTTGAACTGGTACTATTCATTGTAGTACCAGTTTTTTCGTGTCGACTCTTATATTTGGCAATCTCTCGGCAAACTTTTCTGACGTTTGATGGTGAATAACCTATGTCTAATAATTCTAACATTGCACTGTAAACAAAACCATAAAAAATATTAAAAGATAGATAATGTCCATAWATAATATTTATACAAAGACAGGATGTGTATTGGTGTTCCTAAGCACACTTAAACTATATAAACTTTAGAATTGATATAGTTGAAAAATAATTTTGTGATAATATTATGTCTATGGAGAGAAACAAGAACATGGAATATGAATAAATAATATGTAACAACCAAAATATTGAGGTTAACATATTCTTTGCAGGAAAACCACCTTTCCAAGAAGTACAGAAAAATTTGTCATAATACACAACAGTTAATTACTAATAAATCAGTACCTACCCCACAACATTTGGAGAAATTTTGACGCCAGCTAATTCGGCAAGCTCAACAAAATCCAATATGGAGCTGCACTCTGTTCTAATAAGAAGAAGTTAAAAAGGAGGGAGTTAAAAATAAAATGATTTGTATTGGTGCAAGTAATAAAATGTATTAGTAATGACTAATGAGTTATAGAAAAAAATCAATAATATAATAACAATAAAACATTTGAAGAGCACTTATAATAATTATGTTTTTCCAGAAAATAAAATTTACAATTAAAATATTTAATTTATTAAACTAATTAGTTTAAATAGTATTATAATAGTTAAAGTTATACCATGATTTTATAAAAATAATAAAACAATAATATAATAATATAAAGTACTTTAGTACTATTACAGTTACATGTTATATAAAATTATCACCTATGCCTAAATTTAAGTTTAATAAATATTCATGCATTTAATATTTAAAAAATATTAAGTTACAATAATAATATTCATAGTTTTACTTTTAACTTGTATAATTTATATAATATGCAAATTAAATATGGGATAATTTATTGTTTAGTTGCTTAATAGGTATTTACAAACATCAAATTAAATTAAGTAGATTGTTGTTTGTGTTAAAAACAAAATATTAAGCTTTATCCTCTTTTTCTTTATTATACCGTTCAAGTTCTTTAAGAAACTGCGCTTTAGGCTTCATTATATTTGGACGATCTCCACGACACTTGGGACAAAACCATTTGCCTTTTGGTTTTGTTGATAATGAAACACATGAAAAATGAAACCATTCTATTGGACATAAATCATTATCGCAACATATCATCTCTCCATATGAAATCTGATCACAAAGACAATAGGTTGGTTCATCAGGATCAACAGCTATATCATCATCATCATCCAATGATGGCGAATTATCCTTCTGTTGTTTCTTATATTTTCCCTTCTTTTTGGTCTTTGTTTCTGTTTTTTGAGTTGCTTTTTTCAATGTAACTTGAGATTGTACTTGCGCAGTTGCTGTGGCTCTTGGCAAAGGTGTGTTGGAATGTTGTAAAGCTGACAACGCCACCACGTCATCAGAAATTTCTTTGTAATCTGGCTCATCAGCTCTGTTACGTCTGGGCCGTTTTACAAGTTTTGAATCATTGTTAGATTCATTACTATCATTATCAGTGTTGCGTTTCTTCAGTTCTTTAGTAACAGTACTAGTACTAGTGCTAGGTAAACATCGTTCTTTGGAACAATTACTGTTTTCTGGTTTTTCTTTGATACTTGGCTTGGGAGTATCAGGTTCTTTGGCAGAGGTCAAATACTTCCTACCATTTTCCAAGCGTCTGACTTTATCATCTACCAAGTCAGATATATGTTGAACTGTTTGCACCTTTTTATCTCCTAGATTTAAACCAGTAACTAATAGCTTAGTCAATTTTTCAGAATTTAATGTTGACATAGAACCGTCAAAATTGTCGGTCAATTCTCTGATCTTTGACATCATTTCTTGATACTCCAAGTCACATTCACGCATCTGCGTTACATGCCGCTGTATGTCCAAAGGTAAGTTTTGTGTACAGTCGATATAATCATTGTAATATTCTAAAGCTCTATTTGTCCGGTTTGTCATTTTATCGAAAAAAAGTTCAACTTAAAATTCACAGACCTTACTCAATATATTTGCTATCTGGACAGTTTTATAAAAAGCAGAAAATAATGATTTAAATCAAAACTTACTTCTCAAGAGCCATAATGTCGAGTAGAGTAGTTTGTCGTATCTTCGTAAACTGAGAATTAAATTCAAACGCAAATTACGTACTGCGACGTAATTATGGCAGTACAATATTCTCAACAGCAACCTAATAGTTAAACTTAACACTGRACATTAACAAGTAACAACAAGTAAGAAAAAACGAAACAWAAAGTAATTTACTTAAAATGTAATTACGGTCAATTATAAGTCACAACAGTTACAATATGGTAGGCTTTATTCAGGCTATTAGCTTGGTGCTTGGCTTTAGCATTAGCATTATTGATACCAGAGAAGCAAAAACGAATAGACAGGCTTCTGACTTCTGAGTGGCGAGTCAGTGCTGAATGCTGGTAGACCAGACACTAAAAAAAACGGTTTATATCACTAGAAATGAAAATGGTTTATATCAGTATCATGGATGAAAATATCACATCCTATCGGTTTGGAAAAAAGCACTACCTTTTGTTCGACAATTTTTTGTTCCTAGTCACGGCCGTGTTCCTAGTCAACAAACTTATTCCAATGATATTAATTTCCAAATTTTACTTTTGTTCCTATTTACATTTGTTCCAATGAACATTTTTTCCATATAAATTTATAATATATAATCATAGAAATATAGAATAGATTAAATTAGCATAACAACAATAAACAACTAGCAAACTTTTTTGTGTCTGGAAGCTACCG